AAAAAAAAAAGAATTGTGAAGAAAAATGTTTTAAAAATATGTCTGTACTGAGGTAAAAACCCTACTCTACCAGAAAATTCTGTTTGGGTAGGAAGAGACTTGTGTCCTTCGAATTTAACAACGGGAGTTTGAATTATCCTCATGTATGATTTTAAAGTTGAAAATTACTTGTGGTTCTTTACCCAAAAGATAATACCTTTCCCATATGACAAAAGATAAAAGAGAAAGCATGTCATTTTTCAAGTTACGTTTTTGCTGTTGTACCCTCCCCCCCCACACACAACCCTGAAAGAATAGGCCAATAGAACTACTGCTGAAAAAGTCTTAAAGTATATGGGATTATAGAGACCATCCTGGAACTACCTGAGAGCATTGTAAGAACCCAGGAAAGTTTGGCACCTGATAAAATGCTATGTTCCCATGTGTTGAGCTGATCTGAAGCAGGTCTGGGCTGTTTTCCAGAGCACCATAACCCTAGACAGCGACTCCTTGGTTCAAGTTCAGGACTGGGATGGCAAAGAAGCCACCATCCGGAGGAGGCTCATGGACGGCCAGATGGTAGTGGTAAGCGAGGTGTTTCTCACTGCCTTCTCTGCTCTTGCAAAACCTCATGTAAAATCACATCAATAACTTCTTTTGAAGCAATAAAAATGAATGTCATTTCTCTCTTACTTTACAGAACTGGGGGCTAATCTTGGTCAATACCTAATCCTCTCAGAAACAAAAGTTCTCTCTTCCTACACAATGAAAATCAATGAATAAAGCCTGTGACAGCTGGTATAGGCAATGCGATGGCTCCATAACAGATGAGTCACAAGTTCTCAGTGATTTAGCACAATGGGAAATCTTTGTAACTCGTGTGGTGATGATCAACGTATCATCATAAACATTATAAGATGTGTGTGGACTAAGGATCTAAAGAGAATAATTCTTCAACTTCTTGAACAAAACCCAGCATGTGTTTGCTCAAGGAAGGTTTCAACAGGACCCGAGGGTTGTTGCCAGTCCTCTGTATTAACCAGGATTAAGTTCTCTCTATTTCACCAAATCAACATCAAAGAAAACTTCAACTAGGGATAAGAAACAGAAGGGCTGCCTTTCTGGTGTGTGGATGGGTTAACATCAGTAAGGAATAACACTGGCTTGTCGCCACATTCCCCTAGTTTCTTGTATTATTTACCCAATCCTTAATAATCCTGTAAGATCAGATTTACTAGCCCATTTAACTGGTGAGGAAACTGAAATTCAGACACTGACTTTTGTAGGAGTAGAAAAATAGAAAAATGTGGTAATGTTGGGATTAATATCCAGTTGGCTTAGTTTCAAACATTTCAAAATTCATACATGTTTGAGTCCCTTCTGCTGTCCTTCAGAGAAGAGTACAGAGAAAAATGTCAGTGATTCTCATCTTAAACCCAAATTTAATAAAATTTGGACCAAAATTAATAAAATGGTAATTTTGGACATAACACAAAATAGACCGAAGGCAAGAATTATATGGCAGTGACATTTCTTAACATGGAGATTTTTTCTTTCCACAGAGAAGAGTATATTTTGTTTCTTGAAATGTTCAGAGAATTAGTAATGATTTCATTCTTTCTCATAATGACATTAGCCAATAATATAATGACAGGTAATTAAATAGTTCAACAAATAACCAATGAACAGTCAATTTATTTGGAAGAGCACTCAATTCAGAATCCACAGATGTGGCTTTCTGTCCCTGCCACTCAGTATTGTGTGACTTTGGACGTGTCAGCTATCCTTTTCAAGATTCAGATTCCTCACTGCAATATGTAGATAGTAGCTTCATGGAAGGCTTTTCAGGAGAATTAAATATCCCCATGTACATGTATCAGTGCTCTTGAAAGTATAAGATATTATATTAATTTAACAATATTATTTTAAAGGATAGATATATAAAATAGCAAGCAATGCTGCAACATGAACATTTAAAGTATTTCAATTCAAACTTCAGATTACAAGTTACCTGTCTTGCTTTTTATACATACATACATGTATGTTCTCTGTGTTATATATATATATATATATATATATATATATCATATCTGTATTGTCTTCTTGAGATTTTCAGAAAATGTCATTTGTATGATTTAAATCTTCCTACATGTCGGTTTCATCAGCAAGACTGAAGTACCTCATCCTTCTTTTGTTTTCTAGGAAAGCTCCGTGAACAATGTTATCTGCACACGGATATATGAGAGAATGCAACCAACCTCAAGGTCTTGGCACTGTCAGACTGTGACCCAGACTGCTGAGGCTGCTGGACTAGAACTCCAAAGTGGAATGTCATGACTGCTAATACTAGAGAACCGTATCCACAGTTTTGGTTGCCATTAATTAAGTGCGGCAATGTTAGTAGTACCTTGACATTGGCAGTGCTGAGAAGCCAATGGGGGTCCACCTGGTGCAGGCCCAGGAGTGTGCATTTGGACAGACGCTTCATACTGACTGTGTTCTCCCTGGACACATTGTGTTCATTCTTCGCATTCAACACTATTTGAGAAAACAGCATTAATTTTAACAAACTGCTTAAGACACAATGCTCCTCACAGGTTGTGCTAGATTTGTACATGAAAGGAATAGGCTTAGACACTCTAAATACAATACCAAACTGTTAGTATAGACAATGCCATAACCTCTGCCACTATCACTAAAAACCAACATAATGGGCAGTGCTCTGTTCAATTTGCTCATGCAGTGTTAGGCCAGGGAGGGATTTTCAGAATCCGAGGGGATTGCTCACCTTATTTTATAGTTGGGAAGCAGGCCCTAATCAGTAGACTCCGTGCTTCCATATCAGTGATCTACAGAGGAAAAGAAATTCTTCAATTACTAATCTCATGACTAGAACAAAGTGGAGTTAGGTTGGAGCAGTTAGGAAGAACCAGGTTCACAGTGCATGACTATGAATCCACAGCAACACTGCATCAGTTAGTGGATAAAGCAAGCCTCCTGTTGTCGTCACATGAGTGGCAAGATGCCGCCGCTTAGTCTAGGTGAAGATGTGATGTTTGGCTACTTGAGCTTGTAAGTTTTTGCTGCTTATTAAGGAATTTTTGTATTCTGCTAGAAGTGAAAGACATGCTATTTTTTTTTTTTTTTTTTGCTAGTTATGATGACGACAGCTAAAACCTAGAAAGACATTTGTCTCCCAAGCTGCACAAACATGAGAGAGGGACTCCAAGCAGAGGCTAACGGAGCTGTTTTCCCAGAGCCCTGTGTGTGGCTCTGGACATGAACAGCTGTGCCATCAGATCCCGCCATAGCCTGCCGCGCATTATCCCCGTCAGAATTGAGCTCAGATTTGCTGGGACACCCCAAGGTCACAGACTTTGGGAGTTTCCAGAGGCAGTTGTTTAGCTTTGGCTTTAGAGAGAGCTGCCTGCTGTGGCAATAAAAATGCTCACAGGCAGCAGGGACCGGTGTGAAAAACCTAGCTGTCAAGGGCTCAGTTCTCGGATTCCACGGGAACACAGGAGGGCAATTGCGACCGTTCCCAGGAACGCGTGGTGGGGACTGCGCTTAATATTTTCTATATATAGCCTCAGTTTTCTTCATGACCTATTTGCAAAGGCATAAAGTAAGACTGAAAGAGGTTAGAGATTCTGCCTATAGCTCCTCCAGTGATCAGTACTAGGAATCAGAGTCCAAATCTGAGTCGCTGGGCCTTCAAAGTCTCTGTTCTTTAATCATGGTTCTTTAACTAAAGCATTTCTTCAGAACGAGGGATGACGAGCATTAGAGTTTCTTCTAGTGTTTTGTGTCACAGTGAATATGGTAAGTGAATGCATAATTAAAACTATTAATTTGACCAATTTTGCATGCTTAGATCTGCTAATCTGAGCAAGTAATTTGAAGATAATATGCAACATAACACCTATTGAATGTCTATCATTTTGTTTAGTGAAATTCTGTATCATTTCTAATTTTTTTTACCATGTCTTAGTCTCTTTAAAAAATAAAAATAATTTTTGAAAAACATACTAACTTGAATTTATGAAGCCTGAGAAATTTACCTTCCCTAAAACTCTCAAGCACTGAACTGATCAGGATTGCATTTTGGAACTGAATTTAAGAAGGAGGAGGAGGCAAGGGATATAGCTCAGTGGCACAGTGCCTGCCTGGCAAGCCTGAGGTGCTGAGTTTGATTCCCAGTAGTAATGAGAGAGAGAGAGAGAGAGAGAGAGAGAGAGAGAGAGAGAGAGAGAGAGAGAGAGGAAACCTTTACTAATCTATCACCTAAGTGAGGCATCTTTTCCAGGGACTTGTTGCTCCACCTACCAACAAAAGGAATAAAATCTAAGGATATAAGATAAGAAGAATTGGAGGGGTGGGGGACATAGCTAGGCGGTCTAAGCACCTGCCTGGAAAGCACAAGGATCCAGGTTCAACCCCCTGGAATCTTGGGCATGCCCTGCAGGTCACCAAAACTGGGCATGGGTGGCACACACCTGTAATCCCAGCACTGGGGAGGCTGAGACAGGAAGATCACTATGAGTCTGAGCTGTGTAGCAAGACCCTGTATCAAATAAAGAAATAACAGAGTTGGCCTAACAAGTGATCTGATGAGTTTTAGCTTAGTATTTACAGATGAGAATTTACTCTTAGGAGTAAATTGAGAATACTGTATGTGTTAAACTTTAGCTCACTTTTATATTAATAGTGCAGAAATGTCACATCAACATTAGCACAAGTTAGGACTCTGAGGACAAGAGAGAAAAGTTCTTCATTTTATGGGTTGAAGAACTGAGGCTTGTGAAGAGGAAGATGGCAAGGGCTTGGTGGTGGTCATCCAGTTCTATCTGATGGCTGCTGTATTTGTGTGGTTTAGTAAATTCCATAAGGTTTATGGCATAAACCATACAAAAATCAAAGGAAAACTGAAGTATTTAGACTACTTTGACCAGATTTGGCTTCATCTGGTCTTTGTTTTGTTTTTTGTTTCTTTTTGAAAAATCGTCTTGTTATGTTGCCCAGGCTAGCCTCGAATCCCTGAGCTCAAGCAGAACTCCTGCCTCAGCTTCCAGAGGTAGTTGATACCTAAGGCATGGAACATCTTGAGTAGAATGGTTGATAAAATATAGCATTTAATTAAATAAATATATTATATCTAGCCCAGTGTCAGGGACAAATATGAGGAAGAGACTCATTTATACTTTATGGCAAAAACATTACACCTTCTTCGCTTCAGGATATGAGCAACTCTTTGCAGGAAACTTGTTGACTTCAGTTTAGTTACCAGTAGCTTTCAAACATTCTTTCCCAGTCAATGGACCTCTCATCAAACAAGTTGGTGCAGAACTCTGACCTTAAAAGAGGTCACAGTAGGTTGCTGGGCCTCATCCCATCTGCCTTTCCATCTCCAAGGAGGCCTTGAAAGGACCCTTTTAACACTGGCTTTCTGTCACATGCTGTCTGCTGATGGCCCTAGGTTTCTCTTGGTTCCCTCCTTTCTGTACTAAAAAATATCTAAAATCACTATGAACAATTCTTTTTTATCTATTGCAGTACTCAAAAAAGTAGGAAAAGATCTAATTATTGTATAAATCATGATCTAATTAAGCAATGATATGCATAATGGAATTAATAAAACAGAAATATGCTCACATGCTGGAGGACTTAAATGAACCGAGACATGAGATAAGGGGGAAATAAAACTACAAAAAGCTTCTAGAATTAAAAAAAATACAAATATCTGACATGAACACTTGCTAGGTAGGATTAATAACAGTGTTTGGACAGGATATCATGTCTGCATCTTGTACTATGAATAACCACTGTGAAGATAGCAATATGCAATGTGTTAATTATTGAAACTGTCCTACTGACCAGTGTTGAAACTGTCTTATTGCTATTTGTTTCTAAATAAAATTAAAGAAAAAGAAAAACAATTAGAAGCCATAGCAGGAAAGGTTGGGGAACTTGAAAAGATCATAATGGGATGTATTCAGGCTACAGCACAGACTGAAATGTAAACTGAAAAATGCTTTTGGCTAAACAGAGGCCCTACACCCTGGGAAGCATTCTCACGGAGGGAGGAGCAGCCAGGACTTAGTGAACGTTTGCTATAAAGGTGTGATTATCCCAGGATGAGGTCAAAGTTGTTCACCCCAAAAGAGAGCACTCTTGGGGGGTCACTGAGAAAGTGGGAGACGGGAGGAAGCCACAACACCCACGGCGCTGTTCATTCAGCAGTCTTCCGATTGAGCGCAAAATGGCACAGGCCCTGATATATGCAAACCCTTCTGTGAAAGCCAAGTTAAAAATTGTGCAATGACCTTGTTATTTTATTTATTTATTTATTTTTGGCAGAAACAGGGATTGAACTCAGGCCCTTGTGCTTGCCAGGCAAACACTTATTCTACTGAACCATCCCCCTGCCCCTCCCTTATTAATATAGTATTCTGGGTTACCTTTCTTTCTTTCTTTCTTTCTTTCTTTCTTTCTTTCTTTCTTTCTTTCTTTCTTTCTTTCTTTCTTTCTTTTTTCTTTCTTTCTTTCTTTTCTTTCTTTCTTTCTTTCTTTCTTTTTTTCTTCCTTCCTTCCTTCCTTCTTTCCTTCCTTCTTTCTTTTTTTGTATTTTAGGGAAGGAACTACAGGGTGTTCAGGGTTTCACTACTAGATCGGACACGTAGTGATAAACCTGTTTACAGCCTCCCAGGAGCTGGGATCATAGGACCTTTTTATTTATTTTTATTTTTATTTTTTTGCGGAACCGGGGATTGAACTCAGGCCTTTGCGCTTGCCAGGCAAGCGCTTATTTCACTGAGCCATCTCCCTCGCCCCCTTCCTTTTTATTTTTGATACAAAAAGTTTCCTTTAAATTATTACATTCAAAATTAATTTACATGTAATCAGATATTATTTTAAACCAATACTACTTGATAAACTCTAAGAAGGTAGAGATTTTTTGTTGTAATTTTTGGCTTTGGTTCATTGTTATACTCCGTACATCTAGGACAGTGATAAGAAGTGCTAAATAAATACTGATGAAAAAAAAAAAAAAAAGTACTGGTGAATAAATCAGCGAGTGAAATCAGGCTTCTTAGCACTTCCTACTGTTTTCCTCAAGGTGGCGCTATATACAGCTCCAAGAATCACAAAAGGGCAGGCTCTTTTCCTAACACACCCTTAATGTCTGATCAATTTTCTTTTTTTATGTGTATCTTTACGTTAAGCCCTCTTATATTTTGGACCCATTAATCTTTGAGTTGACTTTCTTGTAAAATTGTGAAAGATGCTGGACTTCTTGCTTTTCCCTTTGAACACTTCTTGAAAGGTGTTACATGTTA